CATGGCGGCTCAGGCCGAGGGCCCAGACAACAAGCGTGTTTTCGAAAATATGGTCAATTCTGGGGATCATGGCCAAGGAACAAAAGTGTGGGTGACGCTATGTTCCAGCGCCCTGCTCCCAAGTGTTGTGGGGCCCCTCTCTCGTGTTCAGGCACCCCCGTTCCACCTCTGAAAGGGTCGCCGCTCAGGTTGAGTACTGACAGTCAGTACCAGGTCGAGAGTTTTAACGGTTCGTGCTGGACGACTCTCAAACGACGTCTTCGAGAGAGTTCAGCAGTCCTTCTCTGTGCGCAGGAAGTGGGCGCGAGCTCTGACTTCGTTGACAGGGCTACTGCCAAGGCGCGCAGTCTTGGATGGCATGCACGTTTCGCTCCCAGCCACTACAACCCCGACACAGGTAAGAAGTCTGCAGGGGTCGCTGTCTTCGGTCGATTGGACATTGGCCTCAGGTGGCCGCCAGAAGGAGATGCTCCCATTGCCCCGCACAGGCTCATGGAGGTCCTCGTGGATTTCCCTGGGTGGCCTACTATATCCCTGTTTTCGGTGTATTTCAAGCCGGCGGAAGGACTCAGCGAGTTCAACCTCGACCTGATGGCCAAGTTAGGTCGTGCTGTTAGTGGCCCTGCTCACTCGGTTATCGCGGGAGATTGGAATATGACCCCCGATGTCGTTGAGAGCTCAGGTTTCGTACGTAAGCTGGGTATGCTCCTCATGGCCCCCACAGCGCCCACTTGTCGCTTGAGCTACCCTTTGGTCCAGTGCCAGAGCCAGGACGATGGGAGGGTGCTCTGCATCAGGCAGCATATGCCGTTGCGCTTACACGTCGCAGTCCTGCCGATGAGGCGTGGACCAGTCTGAATGCCGCCTGGACCACGTTCGTGGACTGCGCCGAGTTGGAGCTAGTTCGATTCCTGGGCATCGAGGCCAAGGTTTTGGGAATGGGGGGACAGTCGATAAAAGCTTCCTGGGCTCCTGTTTTCTACCGTCCCAAGCATGCTGATGATCAGCTCCAAGTCTGCTCAGGATGGCGATGGCTTTATCGCGCGTTTGCCGAGTTTGTGCAGACCGCCGCCAGCGCCGCAGAGGGCCTGGCCCAGACCTTGACCCTCCAGGTTTCGTTGCAGCACTCCTGCCCTGGGGAAGGCCCCAACATCAGGCTGGATGCGTCCTTAAAGGAAATGAGAGCCCTCGCGGCTGAGTGGAGTTTAGGCCACCCCCATATGCAGGAGCGGCGCGATAGAGCTGAGCATATTCTGGACACCATTCAGGAGGACCTCTTGGACGCCAATGACAAAGGGGAGAAGCTCCTCCAACAGTCTTGGGGTGAATGGCAACAGAAGGCTCTTGCAGGCTCAGCGAGGCTCATGCGCAGGTTCACCAAGCTCCAGAAGAAGTGGCAACCCACAGTTACTCAAGTGGCCCCAGGGATCTACTCGGCGGGCCCAGTTAAGCTCCTAGAGGCTGAGGCTGCTCACCTTGGAGGCTACTGGAAGGCACAGACAGGGCCCCCAGAGGCGTGGATACCTGACAGAAGCTGTTTCCCTCGAACTTGTCCTGATCAGATCCGGTTGGCATCGAGGTCTTTCAGTGTTCACACGGCCCAGTCGCTTGACGGCCTGCACGTTCGCCACTTCAGCCTCCTCAGCGATGCAGGCCTGGAGTTGGTGTCTCTTTTGTTTGAGGCGGTCGAGCGCCTCGGCCTGTTCCCGATGCAGTTGCTGTGGATGCCGCTGCCGCTTCTCGGGAAGCCGAAAGGCGGTCTTCGGCCCATACTGCTCCTTGCCGCACCAGTTCGCATCTGGGAAAGGCTGAGACGGCCTGAAGTTGATGATTTCCTGGTTCGGCCCCACAGGGCCTACTGGTCCTTCGGGGAGGGGCAGTCTTCGGAAGCAGCGGTGTGGCAGCAGAGCATGTTGGCTGAAGAAGCCCAGTCCCAGGGCAAGATCACTGCTGGTTTCGTCTGGGATGGAACTACGTACTATGAATATGTTAGGCTATTCTGGCTACGCGCGCGTGCTGAGTACTGGGGGATCCCGAGGGTGCTCGTCGAGACCCTGTATAACCCCTGGAGGAGTCCGAGGATACTGAGACTGGGGGCCCACCACAGTCCTCTCCCCCTCTTTGCGGAGCCGGGATTACCAGCTGGATATATATATATATATATATATAGAATGATGCGTTCGTTAAGGTTTACACGCTTTTCCAGTTTGATCAGTTTGCTATACGGAACCTACAAGTATCCCTGGGCTCTTACATTGATGATGATACGACCCTCACGTTTGGGGAGGAAGAAAAAACATTCAGGATCTGGTTAGAGCGGCCGATGATATGAAGTATATATTTCAATATCGGCTGGGAGTGCAACTAGCTGCTGACAAGGCATCGACTTTTGCATATTCTCAACGCGTGGCTGCCCTTTTGGCCAAGAAGCTTTCCCGCTACTGCCCGTCTCTCGCCTGCAACTCGGCCATCTCGCTGGGCTGCGACTTAGCCCCAGGACAGCGTCGGGCATGCAAAGGGCGCACAAAAAGGAAGGCTCGTTTCAAATATCGGAGGACCCGTCACGGATTTATCCGATGCTTCCGAAATCAGTTGCCCAGGGACCGATCTCGCATGAGCAAGATTTACATATGTGGGGTCAGGCCTGCTGCGGGCTACGGGCCCATGGTCATGGGAATGTCAGATCAGGAACTCAACGGTCTCAGGAGCGTGCTGCTCCCAGGTCTTTCGCCAAGGTCTGGATTCATGGAGATCCTGCATGGCTTCAGGCGGCGGCGCCTGCCAGACAATGGTCGACCAGCTTGTGGAGAAGTCTGACGACGCCGTCCACCAGCCCGTTCTCTTTCAGGGATCACATCAGGCTCTGGAGGAACCTCGAGGCTCAGGAGTTACGTCTGGGACCAGCTGAGTGGAGGAATTTTCGGGGACCAGGTCACCGAATGCTTCTGAGTTTAGACCGTATAGGCTGGAAGGCACTTAGTTTTAGTAGGTGGCAAGGTGATAAGGGCAATGTAGTTGATTTGTTATACCACAGCCCAGCCATGGTTGCTAGCCGTTTGCAGTCAGGAGTTCAGAGATCCCACGAGAGGCGATTAGCGGCGAGTCTCCCCTCGTTTGATGGTGTGCGTGTGTGCGTGTGGGGGCCCACTCCGCTCCCCCCTCCGCTCGAAGCGAACCCCGCCGCGAGCTAAGTATTGGACCGGCGCCTTTTTTGTTTAAAAAAATGCTGCTGGACGGCAGACCGCTTGAAAGAGTCAGGCTAATGTTCAGACGGCCTTTGTCCCAAGTGCGGCCAACCTGACTCTATGTTTCACCGCCAGTGGTTATGCGACGATCCAGAGGTTGCAACGGCCCGCAGCGAAGCCGTTGAGCCTAGTCTGATTGAGGCGGCCCGTAATTGCCAGCCCGCAGAGAGATTGTTGTGGTCTCGAATGATAATGGCGCAGCCCGATGATGACCCCTTCCCCCCCTCGGTGGCGTCGGGCCCCCTCCTCCAGGATGCGAATGGGCAGCCGTTGTCTCTCGATGAGTTTGTAGAACGCAGTGAGAGCTGCGACTTGGTGGTCGACGGCTCGGCCACCCAGCGCCCAATTTTAGAACTCAACCGCGCTGCTTTCGCGGGAGTTTATTTAGAGCCAGGGGATGTCTACCAGGTTCGGACCCGTTTCATGGCCACTGTGTGGCCTGTGTTGCACCAAACGCCCCAGGCGGCCGAAAACTTGGGCTTGGCCACTGCTTGTGCTTTTAGCTCGGGCATGAGTTCCCCTTTCAGTGATTGCAAAGGAGCCGTGCGTCTGCAGAATCTCTCGGATGAGGCGCAGCTCTGCCCGCGGGAGATGTTTGCTGGCTTCCGTCGTGCTGCGCAACAATCTCCTGGATTTGATGCCCTGGGGGAGGCCCAGCATGCGCCCGCCCATCGGTCGGATGCTATCATACAGGCTCCCCCCCCCCCAGACCAGAAGCGAATAGCGCTCGCTAACCAGGACGCTGATCGCCTGGCCAAGCACGCCCTCTCGCTTCATCCTCAGCCTGCACCTGCTGATATTAGAAGGCTGGATAGGCAGGTGCAGGACCTCCGAGCGTGTGCGCTGATGATTGGGAAGGTGCTCTCTCCGTTTCCTAAGCTGAACTTTGAGAGACCCCCGAGGGAGAAGAGGTTGCCTAGAGTTTCCCCCCCGCCTGATTGGCATGATTGGGAGGGGCTCTGTGGTGACCGACCCGCTTTCAGATGTAAGAAATGTTTCAGGATCTCTGTTGAGGGCGAGTCCCGCCCGATGAATGGTTGTGATGGTTTGTCCACGGCCCTGAGGCGCCTCCAGGGTGCAGAGACCGAGAGACAACACAAGTTGGGTTTTGCTGTCCTGCACAAGACCCAAAGACCGCTGTTTTTCTGTTTTGCATGCGGAGCATACACCAGCAGGCGATGTTTCTTGCTTGGCCAGGCCTGTCTCAAGAAGCTGAGCTCTGCGGGAGAGCAGGCGCTCACAAGATTTCGGTCTGGCCTCCACCCTCATTACAGACAGAATCCTGAGGGTGATGATTTGCTGGCGCCTGCTAGAGCGCCGTCGAAGTCGGTGCTTCTTGCCCCTCCTGGCCCCCTCGCTGCTGGGTCGTCTCGCTTGGTCGACTCTGACCGACTGCGAGCGCTGGCAGCGCGTATCCAGGCCAAGGAGGAGGCATCCAAGCGATAGCTGCTGCCTGAAGCTGACGTTCTGCCGCAAGGTCGTCCCGTCCTCCTCCTCCTCCCCCTCCTCCTCCTCCTCCTCCTCCTCATCCTCCTCTTCCGTTTCCTCCTCCTCCTCCTCCTCCTCCTCCTCCTCCTTATCCTCCTCCTCCTCCTCCTCCTCCTCCTCCTCCTTATCCTCCTCCTTATCCTCCTCCTCCTCCTCCTCCTTATCCTCTTCCTCCCCCTCCCCCCATCCATGTTTTTATTATCTCCTCGTCTTGCTCGCGTGGCCCGCTGCCCCGCCCGATCTCCAGACCTCCCGTGCGTCTGCGAGGCTGCTCTTGCACCACGTCATGCAGCTGGCGCAGCCATCTCGGAAGGCCGCCCTGTCGACTGGGGGGTGCAGTTGGGCAGTTGAAGTTCGGCGGCGAGCGGGTTGGGAAATGAACAGGGAAAGGCCTTCTCACAAGGAGGAGAAGGAGGAGAAGTGGGGGAAGTGTGGAGTAGGAGTAGGAGGAGGAGGAGGAGGAGGAGGAGGAGGAGGAGGAGGAGGAGGAGGAGGAGGAGGAGGAGGAGGAAGGACGAGGAGAGAGGAGGAGGACGAGGAGGGGAGGAGGAGGAGGAGGACGAGGAGGAGGAGGAGGAAGGAGGAGGAGGCGGCGGCGGCGGCGGCGGCGACGAGGGGGGGGAACATGAGAAGGAGAAGGCCTTCTCAGAAGGCGGCGGGACTTCTCAGAAGCCCTCGTGTCTTCTGAGAAGTTTTTCCCTGTCTTCGGGGAAGGCTCAGAGCGCTTCTCAGAAGGCCCGGGGACTTCCAAACCTCCTGAGAAGGCCTTCTCCTTCTCACTTCCCCCCCTCGCTCGCCGCCGAGAAGCGCAGGGGGGAGGAGTCGGGTTCGAGGTTCGCGTTTTTTCAACCGTTTTCGTTGACGTTTCGGCGGCCGATGCACTCCAGCAGCCGTACCTCGCCGAGGCCAAGCCGAGGGCGTTCTGGGTGCGCCCGGGTCGTCCCGAACGGCAGCCGGCGACCCGAGTCATGACCCGAAGATGAGGTAGAGCCGGCCAGGGGCCCCAGGCCGATGCCTAAGCGACGCGGTCGGCGGCAAGCGTAGTGTTGGCTCGGTTGGGGAGACTCGTTTTCGGCGTGCCAGGAGGTGGATGTGGATCAGGAATGCCCGCAGCGGAGTGCAGGAGGAGCAGAAGGAGAAAACACCAGCAGCAGGTCGAGCCAGTGGAGGGGATAGGATATAGCGAGTATGACAGCACGCTCGATTCATTTTCATTTTGTGATTGAAGGTACCGTTGTTTATTTAATCATGATATTGTACATCTGTCGCGCGAGTATCATTACTTCAATGGAGTTGTTCGCGCGATGCTAGAAGTTGCCTTTTCGATGTCAAGGACGCGCGCGTTCACGTGCTGCGACTGTTTGGTATGATTCGGTTTGGGGACATGGTACACCGCGTCCGTGAATAGATTGCGAACAGCTTGTGCTACTGTGGACTGACCAGGCAGATGATGCTCCAATAGTGGTCATGGCCAGGGCAACGACTTGTCTGGGTGGTCTACCCACTGATTCCATGATCCAGCCGGCCGATTTATTTGCAGCCTCATCTATGAAGTGCTAGAGTTGGGTCGAATCTCCACCCCCTTGCACGAGTACTTTGCTAATCATGTGTTCAGATCCTGCTTTCAGATAGAGTTCAGGCTCCTGCGCGTCATACATATAGGTTGTGCCAGAAGTTGCTGAATCTGTCGCTCCAGCGGCCCATCTTCTCAGGGCGATCCGGCGCTGCATCTGTTGTACCGGTAGGTTCGCGGCCGCGCTAGATTCCGATTGCGCTGGCAGGCTTTACGTCAGCTCTTCAAGTTAGGGTCCTCGCGCTACGAAGCTTTTCCATAGAGCATTTTTCCTCCCCCCCCGTTGCCATTTTGGCTCAAGTCCGTAGCGTGGCCCGAACGTCAACAGCGGACGAGAGCATTGTGGCACTGGGGGCGCC